TTGGCCGAAGTATTTAATACATGACTAAAATCTTACTTAAATTACAAACAAAAATAAACCTTAAATTTCTGACTAAGATGGTAATACATTAAGATCTTAATACAATATTATGGTATAATATTTATTAAATATTTTTAATAAACAATGTAATATTTTTATTAATTACAACAAATCAAGTCAACTATTTAATGTATATCAAGTCAAATGTGAAATTATATATTAGCTGGTTGAAATATTAATAGTAATTAATTCATATTCCAATAAATATATTTTTTGGCATACGAAGGAGGTGAATTACGTGGCATAAGGAGATTGTACCAAGTGGAAGTGGGTCCCATCACTAGCCCGCGAAACCCATGATTTTACTGTTACCACGCTTCTTTTCTCCTTTCCACTCTTACAGAACCTGTAAGATTTTCACTTGAAACTTCAAAAACACAGGCTCTCTCTCTCTCTCTCTCTCTCTCTCTCACTCTCTCTGAACGATCAATCGGAGCAGCCATTAATGTAAGGGCTTTCTCTCTCTGAAGTCTCGTTATCTCTCTTCGTATATATCTGTGTTTTGTAAGGCTGAATTAATTGTTATGTTAATCAGAGTTTGCATTTGTGTGTGTTTTTACGTGGTGTAGGTATGTGCTTTCGATCGAGGATGATACAATTTGATGAAAAAGACATCTGAACTCGAGTTTTCATTCAATTTTCCCTGATCGTGCTTTTTCCCCCGATTATATCGATCTACTGGAGGTTTCTTAGGAACTTCCCTGTTTTGAAATTTTTTTAAAGAAACCAGAAGGAGGATAACCTTTTTTTGAGTTCGATTTTGGTTTAATTCAAAATGGATAGAGTTAAGAGAAGGAAATTGAAGTTTCCTTGCCTTTTTGGAGGTAAAATTCTCTCTCTCTCTCTCTCTCTCTCTCTCTCTCATGTGTATAGCTGTGGAATTTGGTTTGTTGTTGAGGGGAGTGAGCAGTTCAACTGAAAAAAGCTTGATGCATTATGTGAAGCTTTTGTTCGCGATGAATTTGTTTAAAGAACGAAGTAGTTCCACTCGCTGTATTGATCAACTTTACGTTTCTACTGATTGATGATGAAATTGATCGTAGAAACAAAAAAAAAATGTAGAACAGTGGAAACGTAAGAATAAAAATATTAATTCTTGTTCTGTTTCATGAATGTTCTATGAAACAATGGATTTGAACTTTTCTATAGCCTAGACGTGTTAATCTGCGTTTTGTTTAACTATCTGTTTACTTATGATGTTTGATATTCTGTGATTTTCCTTTTTTTAGTCAAAATTACTGTTCTTAGGTTTTAAAATGATGTCAAAATTGGATCCTTTCTCTATCCGATTTAGTAATTATGAATTATGCATTCGAATAAACAAATGTAAACTTTTCCAGTGACTGATGAAACCCCGAAAGGAAGAACAATTCAATCGTGGTGCCCTAATAATGCAACCACTGATCACAGTTTGGTATGTGAAATCCCTTTTCTCTTTGTATTCGAGTATATTTTACACAAAGTTTACATCTTTTTTCATTCCAAATTCATGAAAGTGACTAACTTTCTTGATTGTAGTTCAAGTTTCAAGTCGGAAAAAGCACTTCTAAACAGAGTAATCAGAACAAAAAACGATCATCCAGTTTTTTAGCCAAACTGATGGGCAAAAATGGAATTTCATCTGCTAGACCTATCAGCAAGCAACAAAGAATTACATTAGGAAAGAACAAGGTGTCTAAATCCGACATTCCTCCAAAAAAGATCACGCTTCTGAAGCCAAACAACACAGAATGTTTTAGTATCGAATCAGAAGTGATAACAGTTCCTTCCAGAATTACATTTGGGCTGAATGATCGACTCACACATTCACTATCGAAATTTTCAGAAGCCTCTCTTATTAGTGAAGCTAAGAATAAAATGTCAAGTTCAAGTTCAACATTTCTTCCATCTTTTCAAGACTCAAATCATAGAATGAGTGTTTGTTATGAAGCTGATGCTGAGGAGAAAATAGTGGTATATAGTGATCCCTTTAATGATGATGTCATGGTAGGATATGGGAATTTGTATGGGGAAATTGAGGAAACTGGTTCAAAAAGTTTTCAGGTTTTGTTACTTTCCTATCTAAACTATATATAATTCACATGATCAAGGTAATTGAGCTTAGGTGCAAATAAAGGTTTCCTTAAATATATGTCACAAACTTAACCTTACAATTGTTTTATTTATTTTAAGATTATCGAAACTCTAGTCGCGTCAACTCTAATAGAAATCTAGGTCATATATTTTGTCACCATATAACATTGTAGCAACAATTGTCGACAAGTTGAGTTCCATTTCAAGAAGCTTATTAAATCATTATTCTTGTCATAGGAACCATTGAATGCAAAATCAAAAGGCACGTCTCCCCTTCGGATGTCTAGTCCTATAGAAGACGTATCTTCCCATTCTGATCACTTCAAGAGACTTGATGCTCGATTTCAAGGTAACTTCTAAACTTTTTTTTGTTACTTTTTTTATATTTTTTTTTACAAGCTAATCTAATATTTCGTAAAGTGATTGTAGTTCTATGTTCTATTAGCATACATATAAATTTCTATCAAGCATGAATCAACATACAAGAAATAAAGTTATGACATGCAATATAGTGAGATCAACACATAATTTAGGAAATAAATTTTATAATACAACAATACAATATGAAATAAATTTTATAATACAACAATACAATATGTAACACGATCGATAAATTACTTAAAGAAGACCTAAGTTTAACAAATATTTAAGAAGTTAAAGCTAATCTTGTACAACTATGGAGAAATATCTAGTGATAGATTGTGACTTAAACTATGAGAATAAAAACAATGAGGGAGTATGTACTAATATAGGAAAATAAAAACTAGGGACAAGGACAATACCTATGATTTGTAAATTAAAATTTCAAACTCATTTCCGACGGGATGAGGGTTGTCGGTTTTATTTAATTTCTCTTAGGAAATGTAAGTTTTATAATGAGTCGTAACTCTTTTAACTAATATCGCAGATGCACGTAATAATATATTTGTTTTATTAGATTTCCACTAGTGACATTGTAGTAGAACAACTCACTCTCATTCAAATTATTCATTTAGTTACAAAAACTTATTTCTGACGAACATTATTTAATATGTTTTTTTTTCTTTTTCAATATCGGTGATCTTAGTGGTGTTTGAGATTGCTTATTTGAAATACTTACTGATTTGTTGCAGTTTGACACCGATAACAAGGAGTTTTAAGTGTTTGATATACTTGGTGATTTAAATAAAAAGTTTTTGATAAGTTAATTCATTTTTACTTATCAACTTATTTAATGAGTTTTCGATAAGTTATTTTCTTATTACACATATAAACACAATTTCTCAAAAACTAAACAATAATTTATCATCTTATTACATGTTGGTACTAGATAAGTTAATCCAAAAACTTTTTTGAAACTCCGTTTTCACATAAGATAAAGATAAGTTAAGTACTTACCCAAGCACTCCTTTCATGTGTTATGTGTTGGGTTGGATTGTCATTTTCCCTTTCCTCTTTTACACGTGTCAACCATTTATTGGTTGGATTTTTTTTTTGAATAAACATATTTGATTATATTAGACTTTATTTACGTAAAAAAAAAATAAAGTTTTCTATTTTTTCCCCCTAATTTCAATATTTACAAATTTCCATATACAATCCCAAAATTCGAAATCTTAGATTTTAATTTTAGTTTGATCTAATATTTTTAAATTAATGGTTTATTTTTGTTTTAGAGTGAAACATATTCTTCATATTTCCTATAATCTTAAAAATAAAAAATCTTTATAAATAACATTTTTTGAACGAAAGGTCGAGTTTAGTTGCGTTGCAAATACAATAAAAAATTAAACCAGTTTATTAATAAAAGACCTCATTAGGTTTAGTCGCGAATAAAAGTTAGCATTTAAGTGCTATATGTATAAAGCTACGAACGCGTAAATGATGTCTATACACAAAACACAATTTCTTTTTTGGACCGAATAATCAATGAACGTGAGTAAATGACCAATTCGCCCTTCTAAGTTCATACATACACATTCAAAAACCTAAATGATATCACTCAACATGCAATGTAAAGTGGTTCAAGATTTTTTTTATGCACCTCAATCAACCCCACTAATCCATTTTTATTTCATCATTTTCCAACCATTTTCAGATATCAAGAAACAACTTCATATCCTAAAAATCGAGTCTCTATCAACTCCTATACATACCAAAAAACGCAATCTAGCGGATGCATCCACAGAGCCTGTTACATGGGAATCTTCATTCTCAGCACATATCCTACAATCTTCCGATATTAACGAAACTGCCCCTGACACCATCCACCACCCTAGAGATCCAAGGTTATTCTATCGTATCGAAAACTGTTTTTTCGAAGGGGCAGTATTGTCAAAATCCGAAAAGCACCTGCTTTATGACTATATAGAACACACATTCATTAAAATCTCAAAGTCAATGGTGGCACAAGGGGAAAGTCAACTGATGCTTTCGGAATTAAGCATTGAAGATCAGGTGGTTAAGGTGGCTGAAGAGATTGATATAGAAGAAGGTGAAAATTTTGTTGTAAATAATTATGACAAGGATCCTGAGTGGATTGAAAAGAACCAAATCAACAATTTAGGTAAGCTGCTTTCGGATTTAGTATTGACTGATTTAATACTAGAGGTTATAGAAAACTAGAAACAATGAAAGTTACAAGGTAGAAAAGGAAAAATCCGTTTTTCTAGAGCTAAAATTACCAAATCAAAAGCAATCTTTCTGGAGACTTGTAGTTACTCTGGATTTGGTTTTATTAGCTCCAGAAAAGAACAGAAAGTTTAGATTACATTTAGATCAGTAAACTCATGAACTAACTTTGGTTTTTGGATTTTATGGATTTTATGGATTTTTAGACGATATATCTTGAAAGGTTTTTTGTCAGATTTTATGCCCATTTCTAACCGATATACTACATCTTGTTTTGGTATGGTGTATAATTTTATGTCTGTTTCAACTTTAAATCTTGTATTGTTTTATGTCAATGTTTCGCAATTAAAACTTTAAGCTCTTATTTGTTTTATGTCATCGTTTAGCAATTAAAACTTTAAGCTCTTATTTGTTTATTTATAGAAAGACAAAAACACTTCATATCATATCCATAAGAGAAAATGACTTACCAGAGCAATCATCTTTGTCGCTTTGTTCACATTTAGACAATTTTTTTTATACATATTTAACAGTTTAACTTGTCAAATGTGTTAACATATTACCATTGTCACCTGCTATACCTGTTATAGCAGGTGACAATTGTAATATGTGAACACATTTAACAAATTAAATAATCAAATGTGTACGAAAAAGAAAGTTCTCTAAATGTGAACAAAACGAAAAGTTAATTACTCTGATAAGTCAGTTTCCCCACTTTTAATAGCGATTTTGTTTTTCATATTTATTTGTATTATTTTTTAAACGTTATTTTTAAAGTATCCATAACGTACTAAATATTAATTAAATTTTGATCAATTGTAAACTTTACTTTTTAATTAACAAATATGTTTTTGTTATGTGAAATATTTTATATACTCTCTTATATTTTTTTCTTTTGTTTTTAAGCATATAAAATATATTTAAAATAAATAATATCTAACAATAAAATTAAATAAATTAAATATGTAACAATAAGTATGAAATGTCTTTTAAAAAAATAGAGTAAATTACACGAATGGTCCCTATGGTTTGGGGTAATTTGCGTGCTTGGTCCCTAACTTATTTTTTTAACTCGGAAGGTCCCTATGGTTTGTTTTTATTACACGTTTGGTCCCTAATGTTTATTTTTGTTACGCGTTTGGTCCCTATCTTATCTAAAAAGACTATTATTTAAAGAGGAAAAAATGATGGGGTAGGTGAGGTAAGGTGATGGGGTAGGATTAGGGGTGTGTTTATTTAGATAAATTAAAAAAATCAAGGGCATAATAGTCTTTTTAGGTAAGATAGGGACCAACCGCGTAACAAAAACAAACAGTAGGGACCTTCCGAGTTAAAAAAATAAGTTATGGACCAAACGCGCAAATTACCCTAAACCATAGGGACCATTCGTGTAATTTACTCAAAAAAATAAAATGAAAATATTATGTAGCAAATAAAAGAACAAAAAAAATCTATATAATGTAAATGTTTTAAGATTATTACAATTTTTTAATACTTTTTTAATTAGAAGTTTAAATACTTTTAATGTTTTTAATACAACGTTTTAAACTAGTATTTAAAAAACATATTTTGAAATGTTATAAAAAAACTGAATGAAATGTAAAAGAAAAAGTTAAAAACTTGTAAGAAAATTTTACTACATTTATTTGGTTTAAAAACACTTGTATTAAAACAATATGAAAGTATAAAAAAAGTTCAAAAAAAAATATAAGCAAAGTCAAAAACATTATATTAGAAAAACATATAAGAAAAAAATATCATAAAAATGTTATAAGAAATTATAAAAAGTTTTAAGAAATTTGTAAAAAAAATATTCACATTTACGCAACTTTCTTTTTTTGTACACATTTGACCATTTAACTTGTTAATTGTGTTCACATATTATCATTATCACTAGCTATAGTAGGTGACAATGGTAATATGTAAACACATTTAACAAGTTAAATGGTCAAATGTATATAAAAAAAAATTGTATACACATAAATAAGACGAAAAAATAACTACACTAACAATTCATTTTCCTTATTCATAAACTACTCTTTTTGTCCGGAACAAAAATTAAACCCTCAACCACTTACCACTAAGGGGATAATTTCCACTGATACTTGATACCTCTAACCAGAAACCTTTCTACTATTAAAGCTTTAAGAATATCCCTATTGGACATTGGTTCTCTAACCAGAAACCTTTCTACTATTAAAGCTTTAAGAATATCCGTATTGGACATTGGTTCTGCTCACTAAGATTACCACCATCGGTTTGTATAGGATGAGCTGCTCATCCTTTTTTCATTAAAAAAATTGCTACATTACTGGCAGTCAAGGCCATCCCACCGATCCAGTTCACAAGAGATCATCAACTTTTCTTTCGACATGTGTGTTTATCATTGAATGGCTATATATATATATATATATATATATATATATATATATATATATATATATATATATATATATATATCATTAAGGGGGTGTTTGGATAGAAAAAAAAAGATGATGTTTATTGCTTATTGCTTATTCCCACCACAAATAAAGCTAATAAGCAATAAGCCAATCCAAACACCCCCTAAATATCCAACTTTACCCAAGTCAAATGTATATATATATATATATATATATATATATATATATATATATATATATATATATATATATATATATATATATATATATTCATGATTATTTTCACTACAAATAGAGTATAATATCGATATAATTCATATTCCATTTCAACTCTTTATCTTTAAACTCTTTTGAT